GAGGAGAAGGAGGAGGAGGAGGGGGAGGCGAAGGGAAGTGTGGAGGAAGAAGAAGAGAAGGAGGAAGGGCAGAGAGATGTGGAGGGTGGGAAGGGAGTAGAGGAGGGTGGGGACACAAAGAGCCCAGGTAGGAAGGCAAATCCAGAGGATGGAGAGAGGGATGGGGTGGAGGAGGGAGTGGAGAGGGAGGAAGAGAGGGGAGCAGGTAAAGATAGCAAAAGCTACGGAGAGGCAGGGGAAGAGGAAGAGGGACAACGGCGGGAGGAGGGAAGTGCGGAGGGTGGTGAACGTGAGGGTGGCTTTGGGACGTCTGAAAGCGCAGGGGGCAGTGAGCGTGAGGGTGGCATGGGAGGGGAGGAAGGTGGGGAGGTGAGAGCAGGGATGGGTGGGGACCAGACAGGTGAAGGGGGACCACAGGGAGGGGATGGGGACGAGAGCGAAGGGCAGCAAGGGGAGGAGGATGGGGATGAGCATTCTGGGGGGGCGCGAGAGGACGGCCAAGAGGCAGGGCAGGGAGCAGGAGAGACATGGGGGGCAGCAGGAGAGGCAGGAGCGGTTGAGGGAGAAGTAGAGGGGCAGGAAAGCGGGGCGGGAGGCACTGGAGCAGCAGAGTATGGGAGCAAGATTGGAGTCGATTCGTCCTACAACGGAGCACAGGAGCAGCGGGGCAGTGAGTTCGGCAGCAGCAGCGACGTGAGTGTGTCGGACGACCACTCCCTGGGCCTGGGGCCGGGCTTCGGCCACGCAGCAGCAGACCTCGAGTGGGACCTGCCCCCCCCCGTGCTACAGACGAGGGCCCAGGCTGTAGCAGAGGGGTACAGGGAGGCAGCAGGCAGATTCGTTCCCATGCTGCCTGTGGAACAGGTGAGAGCTGGGGTGGGTGGTATCTGGGGTGGGTAGTAGTTGGGCAGGTATTAACTAGGCTACAGATTCTAGCCTGTGCCAAGGATGTTACAGAGAGGAAGCAGAACAGTATGCTCAACCGCATGATGAAGCATGACAGTATGCTCAACCGCATGATGAATCATGACAGTATTCTCAACCGCATGATGAAGCATGACAGTATGCTGAACCTCATGATCAGTTGTTGAATTGAATTGTAACCAGCTACGTTCGAATCACATGTCTTTTCCTGTAACAGGTGAAGCGGGTGGAGGAAGCTGCAAGGAAGTTTGCCAAGGACGGAACAATCATCTTCGCAGCAGCTTCTTATGGTGCGTACCGCCCGCCTTTAGAAGACGCCTCAAATATGCCAAGGCAATCACCTTCAAGTCTTGGCGTCTTTGAGGCACTTTTGATTATTCGATCCGGCCACCTGTCTCTAGACTCTTGTCGTCATTGCAGCTTCTGATAGTGCACGCGTGCCGCGCATTTTTTGACAATTACCTTGAGTCATGTGTGCCTAGATAATCATCTACTGTGTCCTTCTAGAGACTTCGCATGGAACCCATTTTTTAGGTGCCTCAAAAATGGACTTCGCATGGAACCCTAGTCTTCCATCGCACATCATCGCATGTGACTCTCTCTCCCCTCCCCATCGCCCTTTTCATCCATGGCCGTCCACCGTATCACCTTCTCCTCTCTTCCACAACTGGGCGACCGACCGGCCGGCCCACTCAACAAACCCCTCCACCTTTCCACTTCCCCCCCTTTGCCTTCTTTCCCTTTTCCCCCCTTTTTTCCCCCCTTCCCCCTTTTTTTCCCCCCTCCCCCCTTTTTTTCCCTCCTTCCCCCTTTTTTTCCCCCCTTCCCCCTTTTTTCCCCCCCTTCCCCCTTTTTTCCCCCCTTCCCCCTTTTTTTCCCCCCTTCCCCCTTTTTTCCCCCCCTTCCCCCTTTTTTTCCCCCCTTCCCCCTTTTTTTCCCCCCTTCCCCCTTTTTTCCCCCCCTTTCCCCCTTTTTTCCCCCTTCCCCATTTTTTCCCCCCCTTCCCCCTTTTTTTCCCCCCTTCCCCCCTTTTTCCCCCCTTCCCCCTTTTTTTCCCCTTACCCATTTTGAGGCGCCTCAAAACTTTTTCCCCATACCCATTTCCCCCTACCCTATTCCCCTACGTGTGCACCTTCCTCTCTTCCGCTAGTGGGTGGCATCTCTTAACAAACCCATTCACCCCCCCCCCCCTCCCCCACCTCTCCCCCCAACTTTCCTTCCCCATTTCGCCCACACCTCTAACGTGCTCAGTCTACCTTCCTCTCTTCCGCAACTGGGCGGCGTCTCTCAGCCGCATTGGCCTCGCCAACCACTTCCTGCTCTTCGCTCTGGACCAGGTGGGATGTGAGGGAGGTGGGATTTGAGGAGATGAGGTGGGATGACAGAGGGAGGTGAGCATGTGCAGCAGCAGAAAGACAGGTTGGGGCAAAGGTGATTTGGTGCCAAGCTAGGGGGAGCAAATGCAGCCTTCTCTCCTCCCTGACTGCATCGGCCTCGCCAGCCATTCCAGTGGAGGGCGCGTACCCGTGTGTAATGAGTCGATTCTTGAGTCGACTCAAAAGTATTTTGAGTCGACGCAAATTCCAGTGGAGGGCGCGTACTCGTGTGTAATGAGTCGATTTTTGAGTCGACTCAAAAATCGCCTCGCCAGCCATTTCCAGTGGAGGGCGCGTACCCCAGTCAGGCCATGTGGCTGGAGATGCCAGGCCTCGCCCACCACCCTGCACCGCCCTTCCACCTCCCGGCCTCTCACTCGCTTCTCCCACCTCCCTCTCATTCTCCTCTCCCCCGCCACCCCCCCACCCCCCCTCTCCCCTAGGCCATGTACGTGGCAGTGGAGGATGCCTACCCTGGCCACGCCATGTGGCTCAAAGTGTCGGACCTCACTCAGCAGCCAGCACCGCGCCCCACCTCCTTCCACCACCTCATCGCTCATTTACTTCTTCCCCCTTGCTCCCACGCTGTGCCACCTCCAGGCCATGTACGTGGCAGTGGAGGACGCCTACCCCGGCCACGCCATGTGGCTCGAAGTGTCGGACCTCACTCAGCAGCCAGCACCTCGCCCCACCTCCTTCCACCACCTCGGCTCCCCCGAGTTCCTCCTGTTGGCGGCTCGCCGGCCGTTCTTCGTGCGGGCTCTGCTTAAGGCTGGGGTGAATGCACTCTACAGGTAATTCGTCAGCCAGGTAGTATTGTAAGCAGGAGACACCCTGAGCATGTAAGATGCTTCGTAGCAAGTACCCTGCCTTGTTTCCTTTTTTGACATCTTCTCGAGTACCACTCTCTTTCTTTTCTTCCATCTCCACTCCCTCTCTCCCCACACTCCTCTCTCCCTCCCTGCCCACCCCGTGTGTGCGGCCCATATCTCTCATCGCAGCGACCTCGACACCGTGTGGCTAAAAGACCCCCTCCCGTCCTTCTCTCCCTCCCTCGACATCACCTTCCAAGACGACTCACACCTCTTCTTCCCTTGGGCTCGGTTGGTTCCCTTTTTCTCTCTTTCCCTCTCTGTTTCCCGTTCTTTCATCGCAGCGACCTCGACACGGTCTGGCTAAAGGACCCCCTCCCATCCTTCTCCCCCTCCCTTGACATCACCTTCCAAGACGACTCACACCTCTTCTCTCCTGGCGAACCATCCCCCCTCCCCATCCGCTCCCCCTCCTCCTCTCCCTCCTCCCCTTCCAATTCCTCCCTCGCCATCCCTCTCCCCTGGTCCCAAATCGCCCGAGCCTCCCCGTGCCTGGCCCTGTTCCGCCGAACCAAGGCCACTGAAGCTGTGGTGGAGGATTGGGCTCGGAGAATGGCGACAGTGGACTACGCCTATGCCGTGCCTAGCAGTGATGTACCCCTGCTGCAAAAGGCCCTGTTTCAAATGGCTAAGGATGGGCAGCCCCTGAGCCTGGGCGTCCTTCCTCAGGAGTCCTTCCCCCCTGGGTGGCTTGCTTTCAGCCCTCTCGGTTCCTCCTCCCCTTCATCCTCCGTTTCCCCGTTTTCATCCTCATCCTCGTTAGAAGCCTCCCAGTTGCCAGCTCTAGGATCCGAGTTGCTTAGAAACGATCAGCCGCCACTGTCGCTGTCGTCAATGGGCGCAGCAGGGGGGGGGTCAGGGGAGAGAGTGTGGCTGCAGGAGCACCGGGAGGAGGTGGTGGTGGTGCATTGCAACGCTGCTAGACTGCTGCCGTTCAAGATAGATGCGATGAAGGGCGCCGGGGTGTGGTTCTCTGATGCTGTAGAGTGATTCCATTGCAGTGGTTTGGGTTGGATACAAGAGCACAGGGAGGGGTGGTGGTTGGTGCAGTGGTGGTGGTGCATTGCAATGCTGCTAGATTGCTGCCGTTCATGATGGATATGGTGAACGGAGAAGCCATGTGGGTCTCTAATGCGACAGACTGAAGGTTTGGTGGCGATGAGATGTGGTAGGGAGTGTAGGGAGGATTTTATGGTGGTAGTGGAGGTGAGCGTGTTCCTTGGAAAGCAGTTAAGTTGTCGCCATTCACCATGAATACAAGCAGCTGAAGTGTGGTTCTCATGCCACTGGGTGAATGCTATGATAACCGTTTGAAACAATTTTGGAACTGGAGTGTGGGTTTTATGTCACTGCTTGAATTGCTTTTCAGATTGTGGATTGCTGCATCTTAGGAAGCCCGTCCTTTTCTGGTGAATGGAAGAAAAACCTTCCAGGCGAACGAGCTGTCTCTGTTGCGGCGTTGCTAGTAACGAAGCGAGTTCTCCTCCCCACCAACCACTGCAAAGCGATGACCGTCACAGATCTGCCTCTGGCAGATTCACACAAAACGGCAGAACCTAACATTATCTGACGAAACCGTTCAGAACCCCAACGCCCCGCTCCACAACCTGACAGGAGTGACTGACAACTCCACTGGCAAGCTAACTTCAACCTAAACGCAAGCGCATCGTAGCCTGTAGTCTAGTCGTTCATTCCTCTTATACTAGGTGCCTTGCCCTCTGATCTGCGTCCCATTCCAGCCAGGATGCAGATTCTTCGGCTACTAGCGGTTTGTCTAGCCGTTCTAGGATCGGGGCTGTGCTGCTTAGCTGATGGCGAGTCGTCACTTCAAGTCGCCACCAGCTCGTTTGGCGTAAGCTCCAGCCGTCTTTAACTCGTGCTTTTTGTTATATGATCTTTTGAAATCGAATCGTCATCCTCGTTGCTGCCTGACTCCGTTATGAGGGATGCGAGTCAACCACAATGTCTAATTGACAATGCTGATCCTTTGACATTAGGGGTCTTGCATCTTGATGCGGAATGGAATCAACGTTAGGTGATCCAAGAACGGGATTAGCTGCGTCGCGGCGAGATTCTTACGTCAGAAGCCGGAGACACCTTGCGATCTCTCTTGTCTCAAAACGGCCATGGTTGTTGTTCTTGTTTGGCTGCGCGTTTCACCTGTTCCTGCAGATGAGAGAATTGCTGCAAGAGGGAGACACCAAGACCTTACGGGAGGGCAAGGTAACTAACTCCTCCGGTCTAGCAGAAACTGAACTGATTATTATTTGTTTCTTACTCAGTTTAGTTCTAAGAGTGTTCTAAGAGTTGTGTTTCTCGCGTATCGTCAAGACTGATTAGTGCAGAGTGCTCCTCGACAGACGGATAAGGCTTCAGGTGCTTTTCTTGCCACGCAACGGATCTACCTGCTCAAGTGTACTGAGTGTAACACTGACATGGTAACCGCATTGGCGATTTGCAGCTTCTGGCGGAGACTCTCGGTGGAGCAGCAGGAGAAGCCACCCAGGCAGCTGGCGCAGGCGATAAGGCGGCAATGAACGGGTGGGGTGGAGGGGAGGAGAAGGGATCAGGAGGGTGGAAGGATGCCCTGTGGTCGCCGGCCAAGCTGATGGATGCTTTTGTTACCAGCTTATCCATGATTCTCGTCAGCGAGGTGAGTCACATTCCTGAGTCGCCTCAGGAACCGAGAAGGGATCAGGGGGATGGAAGGATGCGCTGTGGTCGCCGGCCAAGCTCGTGGATGCCGTCGTCACGAGCCTCTCTATGATTCTCTTTTTAGGCGCCTCATAAGGTTTTGAGGCTCCTCAAAACCAGCCTCTCCATGATTCTCTTTTTAGGCGCCTCAAACCTTTTGAGGCGCCTCAAAACCAGCCTCTCCATGATTCTCGTCCGCGAGCTGCGTCGCGTCGCGGTGACGCCTCAGAAGCAGGCAAGACCTTCAACGTCGCCAAGGGTCCAGGGAGATGGGGATGGGGGATGATGACTTTTGAGTCGACTCAAAAGTCGCCAAGGGTCCAGGGAGATGGGGATGGGGGATGATGACTTTTGAGTCGACTCAAAAGTCGCCAAGGGTCCAGGGAGATGGGGATGGGGGATGATCTGCAGTCGCCTGTGGTCGGCAGCCAAACTCATGGAAGCCTTTGCCACGAGCTTGTCCATGATTCTCGTCAGCGCGTTGAGTCACATTCCTGAGTCGTCTCAGGAGCAGAGAAGGGGTCAGGGAGTTGGCAGAATACGCTGTGACTGGCAATCAGGCGACAGACGTCTCGTCAGCAAGGTGCTCCTTCCTGCACTGCACTGCACTGCACCCCCACCGAGTAACAGGTCAACGGGGTGGCAGGCAGGTGTGTCATGGTTCCTGGGAGCGCGGCGAGTCACCAGCGTGTGCATGATTCTTCTTGGTAGTGGTTTTTTTCGGCAATGATTAATTTTCGGAATTTTTTCACTACTACTAGCTGTCTCATGTCACGTGTGTCATTTCCTTTTCCGCGCTCCCTCTATCCCCCACCTTCCCTGACACAGATCGGAGACGAGACGTTTATCATCGCAGCGCTCATGGCCATGCGCCACCCCCGCAGCATCGTGCTGGCGGGAGCGCTCTCTGCCCTTGGGATCATGACGGTGAGCTTATATTGTGTGTGTGGTGACATGGTTATGCGGTTGCATGCAATGACAAGGCAGTGTGATTGTAGTGACATGGTAGGTGTGATCATGGTGACATGACAACCTCCTTCTCCCCCCCATTTGCCCGATTGCAATTTTTAACCCCCATTGCACAGGTCCTATTCACGGGTCCGGGTCTCATAGTGCCCAACCTCCCCATTCTCCCTCCCACCCTTCTATACTTCTTACCCCACATACCCCCCATGCACAGGTCCTATCCACGGGTCTGGGTCTCATAGTGCCGAACCTTATATCCAGAAAGGCCACCAACAGCGCTGCCACTGGTGAGTCAGGTTGCTGCGACGGTTGAGCCATGTCTAGACCCTTTGCACCAGCTCGCTTACAAGCAGACAGGCGCTATGAGGAGGACTCCAGACAGGCGAGGTGAGGGCCGCATAGTGCCAGATTTCACCCCGGGAAAGGCCACCAACTGCGCTGCCACCGTGAGTCAAAGTGCTGCCACTGGTGGGTGTTTTCGTAGCTTTTGGCGAGTGCTACCTCGATTGTTGCCTCAGGAGAGAGTCAGACGTACGAGTGAGGGTGGTGGTGCAGGAGAAATACCATACCCATAAAACTGATGTCTTGTCATGTAGGCCCCATGCAGTGGTGCTCACAGTTGGCTCCATTGTTTTAGCACTATCCCCACATCACATAGGCCCTGTAGAATCGGCCGCGCCATAGAATCGGCCATGCCATAGAATCGGCCATGCCATAGAATCGGCCGTGCCATAACCATGATGCACTCTCTCTCTATATCGTGTGTGTGACTCTCTCCCTCCGTGTACAGTGCTCTACACCTTCTTCGGCCTGCGTCTGCTGTACATCGCATGGAGGGCCGACCCCAAGGAGTCCGCCGCCAAGGAGATGGAAGAGGTGCGTATCTCCATGGATGGCATAGGCTCCAGTCCAGTCGTCTGAATAGATGTTTCTTTCTGTGGAGGGATGTCACAGGTTCAAGAGATCTGTCGGGGCTTCACAGACTACAAGTCAACGCTCCATAGCAGCATTTGCGTTTAGCTTGAGATGCCCCACATTTTTTTCTCCCTCTCACTGCGTGATCGGAGCAGGTGGAGGGACAAGGGCAGAAAGATTGTGTTTTTCTCCTCCTCTTCATCTGTGTGTTTTTTCTCGTTCTGTGTGATTTGAGAGCAGGTGGAGGAGAAGCTTGAGAGCGAGGAGAACGACAAGGGCAGGCACAGAGGCATCCGCAAGTTCTTTGCTGGCTTCTGCACGCCTGTGTTCCTGGAGGTGGGTGGGGTGATGCTTCACCTCTGTTGCTTACGCCTCCGCGTCCTCATCCTATAGTTAACGCCATGTGCAAGGCGTATTGGTACTGTTGTGCCATCCTCGTTATACACTGCAGTACCCCCTATGTGTCTACACCTCTACACTTCCAGATGCGCCAGAGTTCATCTCCGAATATAGTAGCTTGTGTCTCCTCTCCCTGCCCAAGGGCTTAGCATATTGGCCATTGTTGCGCGTTCACTATCATCTGTCTACGTTGCCGTGCCTTCATTTCGTGTTCATATTCCTCCCCCCCCCCCCCCCCCCGTCAGGCGTTCATCCTCACGTTTCTCGCTGAGTGGGGCGACCGCAGCCAGATTGCAACCATTGCTGTACGTTCTGCCGGGGCTGCTTTTCACCCGTGTTACGGTATTGGTTGTAGCACTGAGCTTTGTCGGGCGGGGTGGGGGAGGACAGGGAGGGGTTAGCAGCCCTGTGAGCTCGGAGCAAAGAGGAAGGGGTTGGCAGGAGGGCATTAGCGAGGGGTAGGATCTGCCGTTTGTAGGAGGTAGGTTTGTGTGGATTTGATGTGGTGGGATGTGATCAGAGTGCTGTGGGAGGTCATTATCATCAGCCTTTTTCCTCCGATCCTACTGCTGGCAGCACACAACAACTCATTGGGGGTGACGGTGGGGGCGACGGTGGGAAATGTGGTGTTCTCCACCATTGCAATTGTGGGTCGCAGGCTGCACACTCTACGCATCTGGGAACATAACGCCCCTCTCCCCCCGTCCCCCCTGACTCCTGTCCCCTCCCCACGCTTGCAGCTTGCAGCACACAGGAACGCGTTGGGTTGGGAGTGACGGTGGGGGCGACCACCATCGCAGTGGTGGGCGGCGTGCATCTGAGAACAACTCACACTAGGAGCCAGACTGGGCCTTGTGTTGAACCACCAATGCAGTGCTGCTTGACCTGCACGTCTAAATGCATGTCGCTCCTCCCCTTCTCCCCCCCCCTCCTCCTCTCCCCCCACACATTTCCCCTCACATATGCAGCTGGCAGCACATAAGAACGCCTTGGGGGTGACGGTGGGGGCGACGCTGGGGCATGTGGTGTGCACCACCATCGCAGTGGTGGGCGGCAGACTGCTTGCACTGCGCATCTCGCAGCGCACTGTAGCCATGATGGGAGGGGCACTGTTCCTCATATTCGCCGTCCACTCGTTCTACTCCCCTCTAGAGTAACCATGGATTTGGCCTCTGACAGCCGGTGTGGCCCCTAAGCTAAGAGTGCTGGAGCTTTATGCAGGAATGTTGCCTGTCAGTGGTTCTGGTGCAGCTGTTAGGATCTCACAGTAGTGCATGCTTTGTCTGTATGCTTAAGCTTTGCCTCTTTTGTTTTATTGTTTACTTTTGGGATGTGTTCTAGAAGATAGCTTGCCTTACATGAAATGTACTAACCAATGTACAGTACAGTGCAGGTATTGAATCTCGACTTCTCCCCATTTCGTCCGCGCGTCTCAAAGTCCAGTTTCTTATTCGGTACAGTCACAAAGCCCACCTATTGTCCCTCTCCCCTCATCACGCCTTGGGAAAAGCTCATCTGTCTGGCTGGCTGAAATCCTTCCCCTCGATCTTGCCGAACCGAAACTGGCTCATCACCAAAAGCGCAGCCAGACCAGACTGGACCAGTCAAGATTAGAGTTCCTGGCCAGCGTAAAAGCTGCTGAGCCTGGCAGATCAGCTCTCTTACTGGCATGCTGCATTCTGTCTGGCTAGTCTAGCGCTTTTGACTTAAACTTTTAACTTCAGTCCTTACATCGCTCGTTTCTCGCCGGTTTCGAATCTTCCTGGAAAGCTGTCCTATCCACTTGCCAACCCCTGCCATCCTACTAAGCGGTGGTCCGAGTGCAGATGTCGTCGCTCGTTCACCCCACCGCTCCTGGTTTGCGTTAAGCTCAGACACTGTTCCTTTTTCCGTGTGATTCCGAGGTGACTTTTGAGTCGACTCAAAAGTCACTTAGTCGACTCAAAAGTCACTTAGTCGACTCAAAAGTCACTTAGTCGACTCAAAAGTCACCTGGTTTACGTTAGGCTCAGACACTGTTCCCTTTTTCCGTGTGATTCCGCGTGAACCGCATGGACGTGCATCTGTCGCCTCACGTTCCCTGGGAACTGCTAGCCAGCTCGCAGCCAGGGATCAAAAGCATCCATGCAGCATCCTCGATACGAAACCCGAAAGGGGTTACCAGGCTTTTGCTCGGCTTTAAGCATTCTGGATTCAACTGCCGCAATTCCGATGTCCGAGCTAGGCGGCTAAAGTCTGGGCATAATACATGGGTTTTATGTAAACCGGGTCCCGACTCTACGAGCAGACGAGATATCCCCAGTCACGCACGGCGGTGCGTTTCGGCATTCGCGTTACAGCACGTCTCGCTAGCAGCAAGCGCGAGCTCGGAACACAACTCCGCCAAACGAATCGAACAAAACGAGCAAAACGAGCTAACCGATCCGGGGCTGCTTTGGGACTTCTCCTTCGATTCCGACGAGGACGACGGGCCCCTGCCGGACGTCCCCTCGCGCTGCCTGCTGCACGCCTTCTCCTGGTCGTCGCACGAGGCGGGGGGAAGCGGCGGCGGAGGCGGGGGGATCGGCGGACGGTGGTACGACGTGCTGGCGGAACGAGTGGGGGACTTCAAGGCCATGGGGTTCTCGGACCTGATATTCCCGCCCTGCTGCAAGGCTGCCGATGGACCAGGTGACTGTTCAGGTTGGGTGAATCTTCATGTCAGGTGAATCTACGTGTCAGGTGCATTTACGTGTCAGGTGATTCTGCATTTTTTAGAATTCTAAAAAATGACCCCTTTTGAGAATGCTAAAAAATGACTCCTCTTGTGGCGGGGGGATACGACGTGCTGGCGGAGCGAGTGGGGGACTTTAAGGCGATGGGGTTTTCGGACCTGATCTTTCCGCCCTGCTGCAAGGCCGCCGATGGACCAGGTGAATGTTCAGGTGGATCTTCGTGTCAGGAGGATCTTCGTGTCAGGTGAATCTACGTGTCAGGTGCATTTACGTGTCAGGTGATTCCGCATGTATGGTGAGTCTGCGTGTCAGGTGAATCTGCATGTCAGGTGGCTCTACATCTCAGGTGAATGTTCATGTCAGACATAGCCTGCTGCCTTGTCAGCTCAGGATGATAAGATGAATCTGATTTTGCAATGATTGTGGGTGTGAGAATGAAACTTTACAATTATACTGACCAATCCCGTCAACCGCTACATTGGCCAGCACCCAACTCAACCGAACCATCAATCGTATTCCGCAACTCCCCCACTGCAGGATTCGCTCCCGTGGACTTCTACGACCTCAATAGCGCGTACGGGTCAGAAGCTAGCCTGCGAAAGCTGCTGTCGCAGCTGCATGCGGCGGGGCTCGGCGCGTGCCTGCACGTCGTCGTCAACCGGCTGGGCGCGTGGATGGAGGGGAGCGGATCGGAGCAGCAGCAGCATCAACGCCAGCAGCAGCAGCACGGGCAGCAGCAGCACCACCAGGATCATCAGGGGCAGGAGACGGGAGAGGGAGGCGGGGCGCCAGGGGGCGTGGGTCCCGGGGAGCCAGGGCTGTCGGAGTGGAGGCGGACCACCAACACTGTGGGCGAGGTGAGTTTCACTGTGAGGACAGCTAATTGTAGGGACAGAGCATTGGTCGTTGAATGGTACTGCTGCCAAGGACCAGGGGGAGTGGGTGGGTGGGACCCGGGGAGCCAGGGCTGTCGGAGTGGAGGCGGACCACCAACACTGTGGGCGAGGTGAGCTCCGAAGGAGAGACACTGAACACCGTGCGCGAAACTCGCCCCCCCTCCAAAACCCGAAACCCCTTCTTGTGGGAGGGACCATGGCAACCCCGCTGCTGAGGAGAATGCAACTGGGGCGACGTGACGCTCAGCGTTGCCCTGCCCTCCTCCTCCTCCCCGTCCACCCAACCCGCTCTGTCCCCCCCAACCAGCCTACAGCGCAGGAGCTGGGGAGGGAGGGCAGGTGGGCGTTGAGGTGCAGGCATCGGTAAGAAGAGGAGCGAGCAGCATGGACCATGGCAACCCGGCAGTGGAGGAGGGCTGCAAGGAGTGGCTTCCAACGTTGCCCGCTCCTACTCTCCTTCTACCCAACTCCCTTTTTCCCCCCCGAGCAGCCTGGATTGTGGCAACAAGGAGAGCAGGTGGGCGTTGAGGTGCAGGCAAGGGGAGGGGTGGGGGGGAGAGCGAGCAGCATGGACCACGGCGACCCTGCAGTGGAGGGCGACTGCAATTCCTTCCTCTGCAAAGGAGGAGGACCACGGCTCTGCAAAGGAGTGGCTGCGATTTGGTTGAAGAGCCTTCCTCCTCTACCCCTTCCATCTGACCCTCTGTTCCCCTCAATGCAGCCTGCGGTGTGGCGGCACGGCGAGCAGTCTATTTTTTAGGCGCCTCAAAAATCGTCGACTCCTCTGCCCTTCCATCTGACCCTCTGCTCCCCTCCATGCAGCCGGCGGTGTGGCGGCAGGGCGAGCAGGTGGGCATTGAGGGGCAGGCATCAGGGGGAGGAGCGAGCACCATGGACCATGGGAACCCTGCTGTCGAGGAGGACTGCAAGGGGTGGCTGAGGTGGCTGCGATTCGATGTTGGATTCGATGTGAGATGAGATAAAATAGGCAGGAAACTTAGTAAGACCTTTCCCGTTTTCTCGTGTTTTTTCTACGCTCGTTGGCATTCGAGACCATAATGCATTCGCTAGAGCCCGGGGCGCAATAGATGGCTGGTATGCGCGTGCATTTCCATTTGCGCTGTTCACCATTCTAACCCTGCGTGCGTGCGCTGCTGCTCTGTCCCCTGCAGGCGTGGTGTTTTGACCTTGCCCGCGCCTTCGATCCGGCAGTAGCCCACTCGTGAGTCACTCACTCCGCTCATAGCAGATCCTTGGGTTTCCCCAAACCAGATTTCAAAGCAGATCCGGCAGTAGCAGGATTGCCCCAAACCAGTTTTCATAGCAGATCCGGCAGTAGCAGAATTGCCCCAAACCAGTTTTCATAGCAGATCCGGTAGTAGCAGAATTGCCCAAAACCAGTTTTCATAGCAGATCCGGCAGTAGCAGAATTGCCCCAAACCAGATTTCAGAATGTTCCCAAGGTTTCCCTCATTGCCATGCCATGCCATGCCATGCCATGGTGCTTTTCATGGCCATGCTCAGGCCCAAATTTTTAGTCGACAAAATAGACTCGTAACACTCTGACCTCCCCCTCTGCTTTTGAGGCGCCTCAAAAATCCTCCCCCTCTGCATCACGGCCCAATGCTGTGCTGCTTCTTGTGTCTGCCTCCCATCCCATCGCTTTTGGATTCTTGTCTTGCCTAAGTGACTGCCTTTGTTTGTGAGCACCATTCAATCGTTATCAGTGAAACACGCTGTGTTGTTTCGCCTCATTGACCCGACCACAGGAACTCTTATCAATCGATGCAGGTACTGCTGAGACACGAGTCGGCATTGGCCTTCCCCATCCTTTCGTGGTCATTTAGCCTCATGGCTGCCTGTGTCCCTACCAATCCACCCGCCCATAGGCACTCGGTGCAGGTACTGCTGGGATACTAGCCCCACGTTTGCCATCGCTGATGTGTGGACAGAAATGCGATATCAGGGGGGATATCTGGAGTACAACCAAGGTGAGGCAAACGTTTTTTTTTTTTTTTTTTTTTTTTTTTTGGTGTGTGTTTCCTGTTCATGTTTCTGTTATTAAGTTCACAGCCATCCCTAACACTTTGCTGTGTTTTTTCCTCCTTCTTTGTCACAGCTTCCTTCTCTCGCTTACTCCCCCCCTCTTCTCTCTCTCTCCTGCATTTTCTTCCCTTGGCTCTCTCTTTCCCACTAGATGCCCATCGAGCGCAGCTCTCTGATTGGGTGAAAGCAGCACAAGGAACACCTCTCATGATCGACTACACTACAAAGGTACACTCCGCTTTATTTCTGCATTATGTATCCTATAGCGCCATTGCTCACTTGCTTCAACTTCCTGGAGCACCATTCCCAAATTACACAATTGTTTTACACTTCATTCTCAAATACATGTTTTTCTATGTGAAGAAAATCAATAAATAAAATCAGAACAACATATTCCCGGCGTCTTATCCATTCTGCTTTGCGTTCTCCCCCTCGATGTCTCATGTTTCTTTATAACCTCGTTTTCTGTACACCCCCCCTGGTGCCTCATCTTTCTCCAATGTGTTTTAATTCACTCGTCTTATAACCCCCAGGGCATTCTGCAGGTGGTAGTGCAGGGCTGCGAGTACTGGCGCCTCATTAATCCTCATGATGGCTCCTCCCCATTCCCTTGTCCGTCCCCTGATTCCCCTACCGTGTAATCCCCAGGGCATTCTGCAGGCGGCAGTGCAGGGGTGTGAGTACTGGCGCCTCATTGACCCCCAAGGCAGGCCTCCTGGTCTCATGGGCCTGCTGCCGGCAAAGGTGGGCGGCTTGTAGCAAGAGAGGTTCTTACAGCCTTAGAACCCTCTGTAGTGCGCCTCTTCCTCAGGCGTTTATGTATTCCCCTGCTGCTACTCAAAGCACCCCCAGGGCAGGCCTCCTGGTCTCATGGGCCTGCTGCCTGCAAAGGTGGGCGGCTCGAGAGAGGTACTTAAGTAACCTTAAAACCCTCTTTCTCAGGCTTTCAGGTATTCCCTGCTATTACTCCAAAGCATCCCCAGGGCAGGCCTCCTGGTCTCATCAGAATGCTGCTGGCAAAGGTGGGCAGCTTGTAGCCTCCTCTATCGTGCGCCTCTTCCTCAGGCTTCCAGGCATTCTCTGCTGCTGTTCATACCACGTTCAAGGCTGGTCTCTGGGTCGTTCGGGCCTGCTGGCAGAAAAGGTGGCCATCTTAAAGCCCTTGCCTTCTCCCATCCCGCCCCCCATATTCAACCTTATGAGAAAAGGAGCATGTTTTCCTACCCTCCCTCACCTGATGAACCTCTTTTCCCTCTCGTCTGGCCCATCCCCTCCTACCCACTTCTTCTTAGCCACCTGCGCTTCCTCTCGTTCTCTTCCGGACTGCTGCACCACGCAGCCACATTCACAGGCAATCTTATTTCGAGATGTCTCAAAACGAAATTATTGTCACACATCTTCTGGACTGTCACACATTCGCGGGCAATCAATCACACCACGTGTCTCCTTGCTCTCATCGTCCCCTTGACTCCCCACATCCCCCCTGCTTTCCCTCCCGTCACGAGGCTGACACGTTTGTGGACAACCACACCACCGGCTCCACCCTCGTAGCCTGTTCTCTCACCTCGCCGAGCCTCCTGCTCTTCTTTGTTCCCACCTGCACACCCCCCTGCTCTCCCACCCTTCACCAGGCAGTCACATTCGTGGACAACCACACCACTGGCTCCACACAGCAGCACTGGCCGTTCCCTGCATGGGGGGTCACTCTTGGGTGAGACAATACGAGGATGAGATGACTGGTATTTCATACTGCTGCCTGCATTCAATCTCCAACAGTAGCTACCTCCGAGCCCGGACTCGATATCGCCTTTTGACCGTGCAGGTTCAAGGAGCGTAAATTCATGTTGCAGGCACCTTAATTCGATTCTCACCCCTGTAATCCTCCTCCCGTGCAAGTACATCAGCGGTGCTCTGAGGCCTCTGAAAGCGCTTCTCATTCTCCTCTCATCTCACCCTCATATTCCCGCATCATCCCGTGCAGCTATGTGTACATCTTGACTCATCCGGGCGTGCCATGCGTCTTCATCGACCATCTCTACGAGTGGAACCTCAAGGCCAGTCCATGCTGCCAGTCCATGCAGTCAGTCCATGCTGCCAGTCCATGCAGTCAGTCCATGCTGCCAGTCCATGCTGTCAGTCCATGCTGTCAGTCCATGCTGCCAGTCCATGCTGCCAGTCCATGCTGCCAGGCCATGCTGCCAGTCCATGCAGTCAGTCCATGCTGCCAGTCCATGCTGCCAGTCCATGCTGCCAGTCCATGCTGCCAGTCCATGCTGCCAGGCCATGCTGCCAGGCCATGCTGCCAGACCATGCTGCCAGTCCATGCAGTCAGTCCATGCTGCCAGTCCATGCAGTCAGTCCATGCTGCCAGTCCATGCTGCCAGTCCATGCTGCCAGTCCATGCTGCCAGTCCATGCTGCCAGGCCATGCTGCCAGGCCATGCTGCCAGGCCATGCTGCCAGTCCATGCAGTCAGTCCATGCTGCCAGTCCATGCAGTCGGTCCATGCTGCCAGTCCATGCTGCCAGTCCATGCTGCCAGTCCATGCTGCCAGTCCATGCTGCCAGGCCATGCTGCCAGGCCATGCTGCCAGGCCATGCTGCCAGTCCAAGCTGTCAGTCCATGCTGCCAGTCCATGCAGTCAGTCCATGCTGCCAGTCCATGCTGCCAGTCCATGCAGTCAGTCCATGCTGCCAGTCCATGCAGTCAGTCCATGCTGCCAGTCCATGCAGTCAGTCCATGCTGCCAGGCCATGCTGCCAGGCCATGCTGCCAGTCCATGCTGCCAGTCCATGCTGCCAGTCCATGCTGCCAGTCCATGCAGTCAGTCCATGCAGTCAGTCCATGCTGCCAGTCCATGCAGTCAGTCCATGCTGCCAGTCCATGCTGCCAGTCCATGCAGTCAGTCCATGCTGCCAGTCCATGCAGTCAGTCCATGCTGCCAGTCCATGCTGCCAGTCCATGCTGCCAGTCCATGCTGCCAGTCCATGCTGCCAGGCCATGCTGCCAGGCCATGCTGCCAGGCCATGCTGCCAGTCCATGCAGTCAGTCCATGCTGCCAGTCCATGCAGTCAGTCCATACTGCCAGTCCATGCTGCCAGTCCATGCTGCCAGTCCATGCTGCCAGGCCATGCTGCCAGGCCATGCTGCCAGGCCATGCTGCCAGTCCATGCAGTCAGTCCATGCTGCCAGTCCATGCAGTCGGTCCATGCTGCCAGTCCATGCTGCCAGTCCATGCTGCCAGTCCATGCTGCCAGTCCATGCTGCCAGGCCATGCTGCCAGGCCATGCTGCCAGGCCATGCTGCCAGTCCAAGCTGTCAGTCCATTCTGCCAGTCCATGCAGTCAGTCCATGCTGCCAGTCCATGCTGCCAGTCCATGCAGTCAGTCCATGCTGCCAGTCCATGCAGTCAGTCCATGCTGCCAGTCCATGCAGTCAGTCCATGCTGCCAGGCCATGCTGCCAGGCCATGCTGCCAGTCCATGCTGCCAGTCCATGCTGCCAGTCCATGCTGCCAGTCCATGCTGCCAGTCCATGCAGTCAGTCCATGCAGTCAGTCCATGCTGCCAGTCCATGCAGTCAGTCCATGCTGCCAGTCCATGCTGCCAGTCCATGCAGTCAGTCCATGCTGCCAGTCCATGCAGTCAGTCCATGCTGCCAGGCCATGCTGCCAGGCCATGCTGCCAGTCCATGCTGCCAGTCCATGCTGCCAGTCCATGCTGCCAGTCCATGCTGCCAGTCCATGCAGTCAGTCCATGCAGTCAGTCCATGCTGCCAGTCCATGCTGCCAGTCCATGCAGTCAGTCCATGCTGCCAGTCCATGCTGCCAGTCCATGCAGTCAGTCCATGCTGCCAGTCCATGCTGCCAGTCCATGCAGTCAGTCCATGCAGTCAGTCCATGCAGTCAGTCCATGCTGCCAGTCCATGCAGTCAGTCCATGCTGCCAGTCCATGCTGCCAGGCCATGCTGCCAGGCCATGCTGCCAGTCCATGCTGCCAGTCCATGCAAACATTGGTTAAGACAACCCCCTCCCCCCCTTTCCCCCACCCCGCCTCTTCTCCCTTTCTCCTCTCACCTTTCTTCCACACACCGCAGGACTCGATCGAGAAGCTGCTGGCCATCCGGCATCGCAACGGCATCACATCCAACAGCGCCATCCGCATCATGGCGTGCAACACTCGGCTCTATGTGGCGCGCATCGGCACCAATGTGGGCGATGAGACACTGTTCCGAGGGGTCGTTGTGAAGCTCGGGCCGTCGTTTGACATGCTGGGAACTGCACCAGGTACTATTCTAGATCTATGTATTGAATATATGGTATTTGTGTCTCTATGGAACGCATCGGCTCGGCACCAACGTGGGCGATGAGCCGTGCTTCCGAGGGGTTGTTGTGAAGCTCGGGCTGTCGTTCGACATGCTGGGAACCGCACCAGGTACCACTGTGGATCAATATATAATGCGTAGAAAAATGTGTGTTTTGTTGGGTTTTATTCTGTTGCATGCATGATTCTGTTTCTTACATGCACATTTGCTCTTCTCTCCCCTATCGCAGATTCGTCTTGGCCGATAGCCATGTCAGGTCATGACTTCTGCGTGTGGGAAAAAAACACTGAATCGGAATGACTCCATACCAAACTACTGTAGTGGAACTTAGTATTTGGACTAGCCCTGGGTGTATACTGCATGTAGTGCATCAGTTGTAGTGCATAATGTGTCACATTGTTTCTGCTTTGTTGGGATGAAGAATATAGGATAACCTGTATCGGGTCAATGCTGGGCTTGATGTCTTGTTATGTGCTCTTTTTTTGGGGTCTTTCAACTGTTTTCCTTACGTATTCTTGTGGCGGGTGAGGAAATACAATTATGACCGTCTGCTGGGATTCGGGTGCCGTTTTGACCCAGTTTCAGTTTATAACTGCTACGTAACTAGGAGGCAGATATGGTCAGCCCTCCCGTCCCCAACACCGGTTCGAAATGGTCTGTCAACAACAAAATGTCCTTTTGTGAGGTTGTTTCTGTCTGCCTCGGACCGTACAGTTCCCTGCAATGACACCCCACAGAGATGGCAATTGCGGTGGTCAATCTGCGGCGCGTAAATGCGGCGGAGTTTGGATACTGTAACTGCAGGCAAATGCCACGCTGTCGGCGCAACCTTTCCCCCACTTCGCCTGCTGGGAATGGTTGTCGGTGTCAAGGCAGGGCAGTCAATTGGTACACGGCGTTGTGCCAAGGCCGATGTAGAGGGTGACGTGGAGTAGTTTTGTCCCGCCCTTGCTGGTTTGTTTCGCCAATTTTCGTTTTGCTCACCAGCCTGTACCTTGCCGTTGACGGGCTTCGGTTGCATCTCCTGTCGCCTGCTGGTGAAGGGGAAAGCTAGCCTTAGGGATGGGATTTCATGTCGCTGACGTGGAACTGTGTACTGCTCATTGGTGGTGCTTGGATGGTTCGAGATCCAGGCTGGCAATCACCAGCACATACCCGCATTCCACGGCAGGGGATGACTGGTCTACGTCAGCAGCACTCCCGCCGAGCCCGTTTTCGTCGAACCCACCTGCAACCAAATCAGCCAGCCGTGTCGCTAGCTTCTTATCCAAATCGCGGCTCGATCGTATGGAAATTGCGGTGCGGTGCGAAATTGTTCGCCGCACATGGCAAACACAAACATCTCACCCACTGGCTTGGCTATTCCCTCTCTCAACGTGAGGCCCAGAAAAAATGTGCTAGCACCACCAGCGGCACCTCTCAAAATCGATCAATATCACCTCGCTGGAAACTGGAAAGCAGACCTCTGCATTTCTCTCGAACATCCGTTCACCAAGTTTCCATTGGCTGCCTATTCGACCCATTTCGAGTTATCGGTCGGTGCGTCCCGTCTATTTCTTCAAATTCACGTTAACTCTCGTAGCTTTCTACAAAAATACCATGGCCATGTTTCGTTTCCGCTCCATCCATGCCATTGTACTGGTCGTCTTCACCATCCTAGCGCTGGCTACAGCATCCGAGGCGCTAGAGGGAGCTAGCCGCCGATCGCTTGCAGTGAAAAAACTTCAGTGCCCGAGCGGCGCTGGAATCTGCCCGTACAGAAGCCTCACGACATGCAGCCAGGCGTCCATTTACTGCTCCGGCGCCTGCTGCATCGTAAGTCACATGATAATAAATCTGAAATCTCTTGATCAAGTGTTGTATATTCTCTGCCGTCCGTCTCATTCTTCTTATCAACCTCTTTTTTTTTTTTTTTTCACACATTTCGTCTAACGCTGCTTCCCGCCTGTCTCACAGAACAACGTGGAGTACCCCTGCTGCGGCGGAAGCATGTGCTGCAGGGCGGGCGGGTGCATGAGGAAGAAGAACGGATCGTACGCGTGCTGCCCCATCGGGACCAAGGCGTGCGGCATCGGAAAATGCTGCCCCAGCACGTAGGAGAGGAATCTTTTCCATATGGTCTGATATACCGTACCATGGCCTCTTGCATTAAGGGGGTTCTTGTGGGATGATGATGCGCACAGGAGATGGGGGGAGTATGTGGAGTGGGAGTGTGTTTTGAGTCGACTCAAAATACACCTTGAGTATGTGGAGTGGGAGTGTACATACTTCATATGGGGCTACAGTTACTGGTTAGGACCGTTGGCAGGATATTGGGTTTTCTTTTTGGGAGGGACCTTAACTTAGGCAGTAGGGTTGGATGTAACTGATTGTATGTAGAAGCTTATCACTAGTGATTTTACTGGCTAATTGCTTCATGCCACTAAGAATTATCATGCAGCACATGTATGCGTACAAAGCATCTCAACGCATTGACTAAACACCCTATGCAGAAGGGACAAGCGGGAGGCTCTCCAAGAACCACATGAAGAAGCCTGTCGATGGGGCATCAGAGGAATGCACCCCATCCAGCAGTGAAGTGCCCTGTGGCATGCTTTTTGCAGGATGGCATCGGTCAATCTCAGGACAAACACGACTATATACAGCGCCTGCCTGTACACCTCAAGGAGTACATACAAGAATGCTTGCGAGCGCCTAGGGGCACATCTCCCACTGGTGGTAGCTCTTGTCCACGATCCCCCCGCCCAGTCGGATTGCCCGGTTGAGCGAGTCCAAGGCGGGCGGCACGCCGAAGAGGAAGGGGAGAGCCACAGTGAGGCGCAGATGCTCGTGCAGCCCCTGCCCCATCTCCAGCTTGGAGTCAACCACCTGGAGGGGTGTGGGATTTGATGTGGTGAAGCAACGGGAAGGTTGTGGCAAGTCTGGGCGGCAGGCAGATAGAAAAAAAGAAGGGGAGTGCCACAGTGAGGCGCAGATGCTCGTGCAGCCCCTGCCCAATCTCCAGCTTCGAGACAACCACCTGATGACACGTGGCAGCATGTGAATGGGTGGAGAGAGGTCAGTGGAACAGCTACAAGTAACGAGGAAGTTATTGGCCCGACAACCTAAGAATATGCAGGCTTGGCTCCTGTCTTCAGCACAATCGTTGTCTCTACTTCTACATGAAGCACCTCTTTGTTCTCAGTATAATCTCTACATACAAAGCGAGCGAGCGGACAGTATCATGTAGAGCTCATATCCCCACCAGGCCAGCCACGAGGACGGTATCCTCTCCACAGCATCAGATGGCATCTCGGGGGAGAGAATGACCATCTGGTGCTGAACGAGCGGAACTGAGCACCGAACGAGCGGCAATGGAGCTAAGCGCAGAATGGACACGCCCACCTCCCCGCCAGCCATCACGACAGCGTCTTGAACAACGTTCTAGGGCATCGCGAAAGAGAGTATGATAATGTGGGGACATGCTAGAAGCCATTCACACACGTAGTGGAGGCGCTCACCTCCCCGCCAGCCATGAGCACAGTGTCTTGCACAACGTCCGAGAGCATCTCAGGGGAGCGGCAGAAGCCCACCACGCAGAAGAGGCGCGAGGCGTCGAGACCCTAAACGCGGGGAGGGAGGAGGGAGGGACGGGGAAAGGGAGGACGGGAGGGGGGGAGGAGGAGAGGAGAGGAGGGCAAGCTGATCGCTCAGTTGAGCACCTCGGGGGAGCGGCAGAAGCGCACCACGCAGAAGAGGGGCGAGGCGTCGGGGGAGGGGGATTGGGAGGAGGGGAGGGCATGAGGAGAGAGGTGAGTAGAGAGCTGATGCGCCGATGGAGCATCACAGCCCATCGACAGAAATCTACCACAGCAGGGGAGGATGTGCAGATGCGAGGAATCAGGACAGCCAGAGGGGTGAGGGGATGTAGTGGCGTGAGAGAAGGAGTGAAGTGTTAAGTTTTTGCGAATTCTGAAAAACCTCCCCTAACACAGCATGTACAGATGCGAGGGGGGACAGACGGAGGGGTGCGGAGAGGATGTAGTGATGTGAGAGAGGGAGTGAGGAGGGGAAGGGGAAAGGAATGGCGCGGAATGGCGCGGAATGGAGCGGAATGGAATGAAAGCTCGTTCCACGCACGGCCAGTGACTCGTACGTTGAAAGCGCGTATGTCAAAGAGAGAGGCGAGGCACAGCCCCTGATGGGGGTCCATGTAGCGACGCTCGGAGAAACGGCGGGGGGAGGAGGATGGGGATGACGCTGGCGGTGATGCTGCTGGTGTTGATAGCGCTGATGATGGTGGTGGCAGCGACGGTGCAGGCACGTGCGTGAGGTCGTGGATCTGGAACACGCCTTCCGATGTGAAAAACGTGATGCTCTCGCGACGAACCTCCCACGAGGCGTCCCCGGGCGTGCCTGCTGGGTGGGAGTTGTGGGAACCCATGGAGGCGACTGAGGGCTATGTACCGCACGACACACCCTGCGCGGGTTGATACTGGTAGCAGCATCATGCGGGCTGATCACTGCCTGTGCATGCAAGGATTCTGGCATGTCGGCGATCGTGACTGAAGAGATTTCCTTGCTAGTCGCGAGATTTCATTCTCATTCATTCCTTTGCGCGTGGTGCTGCCTTCATCCTTACCGGATTCCCAGGGGTATCTCCACATCCTGCTCTCCTCGCCGCTTCCACCGTCACTCCCGCCACTCCCGCCACCAAACCGGTTATTCTGACGGCCGCTGCCTCCTTGAAACCACCGGTTACCGGCAGCTGCCGTTACGGCCAAATCGCCTATGTGACCCTTGTTCCCCGCGCGTCCGCCGAAGCCGCTACTTCTGTCATAGGCAGTGCCGACGCGGTGTCCATAACCTAATGAATCTGGCGCCAGTTTGCTCCTCCTGAGGCGACGAGATTCGCCGGACGCTAATGAAGCGGACGGTTGCGATTTCGCGGACGTGAGGCGGGAGAGCGTGGCGAAAGTTGCAGCGAAGTCCACGCGAAGAGCAGCCAGAGAAGGCGAGGAGCGGCGGGCTAGGAAGGGAGTGGTTGCGACGAGAGGAGAGACGCGCGCGTCAGCCATAATAGTAATGGTTGACAGGAGGTGACTCTTAAATATCTCTGCACCTGGTTGAGTCTACTCGGAATATACGTGGCGGAACGGAGGTTTTTTAAGCGGTCGGCAATAAGGAGGGAGGACGCCGTGAAAGGGAAGACAGAATAGTGTGCGACGGGGAGTTGCTGAAACGCTCTACTAGGGAAGCTTACCACTCGAGCATTGAAAATGACGGAGATAACTAGCTAGGAGGTACCTAGACTGGCAGGCTGTGCATTCACGGGTTACTATCTGGGTCGTAGATTAGCGAAATCACGAGACGATGCGACAAGTAACCACTGTATCGTTCATATTCCGCGAACAGCAGGGTACGGTTACAGCTTGTGACGTGTGAAGCTGGTGACCCAGTAAAATTCCTGCGTGGCCTTGAAGCAGCATGATGTCCAGAGAATCGCCCGCTGACCTGGTGAGTCATTCATGATTCGCCTGTTATTCCGTGGCTGTCAGAAAGAGAGCGCCGGGATTCGTGGCTTCGCCAAAAAGTCGACGCCGATTGGCGAATTGCTGACCCCGTGATCGACATACTTGCGTGACAACAGCCAATTACACACTTATGGTGAAATCTTGTCCCCCTTTCCGCTATGATTAGCCCCCTCTTTTGGCTTACTCCGAAATACCCATTCCAAGGTAAAGCCGGACTACAATATACGCACTCGGAATGAGTGACGGCTATGTGAATTTCTTTCTGTATGCATCTGTCTGCTACCTCCGCCACCATCAAATACCTCCCCACCATAGGATACATACCTTACAAGCACCCCATCACTAGGACCAAAATAATCTCAGAGCCATGCACTCTCTCTCACGTCTTGGCCTCGACGGCGATAGCCTTTCTGCCACGCTAAAGAAGGCATCCATGCATCACCAATCCTCCTGTTCTGCCACGCTGTGTCTTCCCCTTGGCAGAAGTTGCGCCATTAAGCACAAAAATGCATCCAAAATACGGTAATCTGAGTTTTATGCCAAGACAATAGATAAAGAATGCACAACCGTAGCAGAAGGTGTTAACATGTCCGCTTGGAGTGGTACGCAATACACCGAATCATGCCATGATTCGGTGGCTCTTCTGAAAATCCACGCATGACCAGCTCACCATTATATCGCACACACAAGCATCTTGGTGCAGGCATGACAGCGTGAGCCTCATCTCCTTCGCGGATTGCGAACGCCATTGCCTTCATCGGCTTCTTCACTATCTTCTGTTGTGATATGATTCATACTTAGCATTTCTGCAAGTCGATTATCGATAGATAGTGTCGAATCCTACTCTGGAAGATAAGTCCGTAGGATGACGTCAGCAAATAGCGCTCGTCATGAGGATAGTCGTATCAATCACGCGAACAGTCGCGTCTCTTCAGTGTCATTTAGGCCGCATAGCGCGATAGTATCGAACAGGTACATTAGCGAATAGGTACTTCTGTTAGGTATAAAAGTAGCCTGTCTTCATTGTTTAGTTAACTTGTTCTTCAGTAAATTCTGGTCAACACTTTACAAATTCTAAGACTAAAAAAAAGCCCTAGGATTTGAAGTCAGGAATTTTCGTATCGTTCGCCGCCTGGACGCACCCGCCGGATCTTGATCCCGACTTTACTCCAGGCGGATTCTGGTACTCCAACACCATCCCTGCAACAGAGAGAACGCGCGCATTAGCAGTCATTCGACAAGAACGACAAGTACCAGCAAGTACACCTTCCTCGACATCACCTGCAGTAACAGCACCAGGTCCCAGCCACGCGCAATCACCAGCAATCCGAGGACCGCCAACCGAAGCAGATCAGCTCATGCCCATCACCCGAGGAGTCTGCCGCAGTCCCGCTACGGTTGTCGCGTTCTTCTCCAACGCCGACGTGTATCAGCGCTCACCCGGCCATCGCGCTCCCGATGACATCTGGCATCAACGCCTCGGACACCCTGCAAACAGGACAGTTCTTCAAACCATACAAGCCGGAGTATTAGAAAAGGGCGCTCTTTTCACAACGAGCGGCCAGGAGCTTCGACGACCCCGCGCACGATGTTTCACATGCCCCGAAGCCGATCTTCCCCATCAACCTTTCCCGTCGCACCACAATCCAAGCGCACCTGCAGTGACGGAAGAAACTGTCCATATGTTGACCCTTTGAGAGGTTAAAATACATGTGTATATTCCATACATACTCTTTTATACAGCTGGCTTTAATTTACTTGTAGACTGCCTCCTAAGCAAGAAGAGCACATGTCATGCAGCCTGAAAGGGCATGTTTATTATGCAACACCAACAACAATATTCACCAAGTAGTATTCGGACACTTTTGGCCAGATTTGAAGTAAGCTATTAACAATCCAAAATCAGACCTAGTCCATCTCCTCTTAGCCCGAACCACTGCCTTCACCCTCCTTGGCATACTGTTAATGAGCCCCCTGCACACATCCACCCCAATCCCATCCCATGTCTCTTGCACCCGCTCCCAAGTCTGGAGCATCCCTGTGGGGGGATGCTCATACTTGGCAAGCTCTCGTTTGAGGTGTGCCCACAAGTGCTCTAAGGGGTTGAGATCAGAGGAGGAGGAAGACCACTTTAGGACAGAATACTGCTGCTCAGACAGCCAAGCCTGCACAAGGCGACTCTTGTGCTTGGGGTCGTTGTCATGCTGGAAGATGACATCCGAGGGGGTTAGATTATAGAAATCGATGGTTTGTGCAAGCTCGTCATGCAATATGCTTCTGTAGAGCTCCCAATCCATGTGGCCGTCAATCTTACACATATATCCCAGGCCATCATATGTCATGCACCCCCATACCATTAATGACCCGCCCCCATGCTTGGCGGTTTGTTGCACTTGGTGACCTTGCAGGGCCGCCCCGTCGCGTATCCACGCGTACTTGCGGCCATCACTGGAAAAGCGATTGATCTTGGTCTCGTCGGACCAGATAACCCGCTTCTAGTCTTCCATGGTCCAGTCAAGGTGCGCCTTGGCGAAATCAAGTCGGTCTCTAATGTTACGAGCAGAAAGACGCAGCTTCTTCGGTTTCTGCACAGCTACTAAACCAGACTGCTTCAGGGCGTTGCGCATGGTTCTAGGGAAGATCTTGATGCCGCGCTCTGATTCTAGTAGTTTCGCGGCTTCTATGCTAGTCTTTGCATGGCCGAAAGTGACTGCTCGAACCAGTGAGCGCCTATCACGTACCGAGAGCATGCACGGTTTGTCGTTCCTAGGAACAATCGGCCTGACCGCTAGGCTGCTCGTGTGCTGGGCGGCTCGTGAGCATATTTCTGGACCGTGCTCTTCCCTATTCCTAATGCCCTTGCGATTTGTCGGAAACTTCGACCCTATCGAAGCAGGGTCGCGATCGTATCTTTCTGGCTCGAAAGAAGCGATCGCATCGTCGCTAGGAGCTTGGCGTAATTGCCGCTGTACTATCGAGAGGAAAGAAAAGGGTTAGATTGCGAGATCGCGAAATGCAGACAGGAAAGAGACCTGGACTCAAAGTTGGCCTAAAGTGTCCGCATCGAGTGACAGCAACATATTACTGTACGCTTTACAAGAAATTCGATTTAGAATTCAACACCCAACTGCATTAATTAGCTAAGGTCAAGAGGCACACTATGCAATCTATTGTTGTCGAGTTTTGACAACATATCATGCCTAAATCTCAATGTCTATCTACTGCAATGGATTTTTAAGCCCATTTATTTCCGTCACTGTGCATACGCACCGATGGAAAAAGTTTACAGCGATATTTTAAATATGCCTTGAGACGACAGTGAAGCAGAGTACAATTACGTCATCACGTTCATCGACGCAGCAACACGATACATCTGGCACTACAACCTCAAGACACGTGACCAGGCGTTCGAAGCCTTCACGACGTGGCTCCCCATCGCTGAACGAGAATCGGGCTCCCAACTCAAGAGTTTCCAGTCAGACGGGGCACTGGAGTACCAGTCACAAAGGTTCAGGAGCTACTTGGCAGAAAGAGGCATCAGACGCCTGGTGTCTCTGTCCTATGCTCACCAACAACAGGGGGTCGCAGGGAGGATGAACCGCACCTTGCAGACAACGATGCGAAAGCTGCTTCTTGGGATGAGACTGCCCAACACACTTCGGCCTGACGCGATGACGCATGCAGTGCACCTCCACAACTTGGTGTCCTCGTTATCACTTCCCAACAGCGCATCACCGCACCTGATGTGGACAGGAAAACAGGGCAGCACAAAATTACTTCGAGTCTTCGGCTGCATGGTACAATACAGACCCCACACAGCTCGAGTAGGACGATTCTCTCAACAAGCACAGTGGGGACTGCACCTCGGCATCGCAAAACAATTCCAAGCATGGAAACTTCTCGACATTCAGGACAAAAACACCGTGGCCTCACGTGATGTGATTTTCTACGAGAGACTGCCGCTGCAACATTACCTGGACAGCGTCGCCAACACAGCAGACCCCACCGACGGCTTCGAGGGCCATCGGTCCTTCGCCGATCGTGCTGCCGAAGCTGACGCAGCAGAAGAAACCGTACCTGAAGCCTCGGAAGCTGCTGGACCACTCCCTTACTGCTACGTGCCCGTTCCACTCGACGACGACAACCCTCTTGATAGTAACAACCTCGACACCTACTACCGCTTCGCTGACCAAGGCTACACTACACCTCAACCGGTCGACACAAATGTCTCTGAACGCATCGGACCCAATTTCTTACCTGACCCCGAAGATGGTGACAAAGCAGCTTATCCCGGGAATGAAAATTCCCCTCGACACACACCCACAGGCCTGCAGATACTTGGACTAAGGTCGCTGTCCAGAGCCCACCGCCGTCGTCGTCATGAGAGCCAACGACTCTGTCGCAGGCTCTGGGGGGGGAACACAAGGCGAAATGGAAGGAAGCAATGGAAACTCGAGGACGTGTGCAGTTGACCTTGGAGTGTCCGGATGTCTGACAGTTGTGGCAAAACGGCGGTACAATGGTGAGACCTCTGGTGTCGTGTCGGTTCTGCTTGTCGCGTCGGTTGTAGTTGTTGTCGTTTCTTCTTTGAGTGTAGAAGACTAACGGTTGCTGCTTGTTTCGTGGTTGTCTTTCTTCAAACAGGTCCATCTCCTGTTGTTCAGCATGAAGCTCGGCGCAGAGGTGCATCTCGGAAATTCGTCAATGGGCGCGAAGAAGCGAGCAGGTGGTTCTCCATTCTGGTC